CTTAGGCCAAAGCCTTCGCCGTGCAGTGACGCCACACCCTCAGCATCTGCTTGCTGTGACCCCTCACTGCATGCTCGCGCTGGATGCCGGCACAATTGACACAAACTCGTACTTCGAGTAGGCATTTTCGGCCAGCAAATGCCGATAGATACCGTGTATATATGATATATATATATATATATCATTTTAAAGAAATCCTAGGCTTTGACCTTCCAAGGGACGTTTCCTACTGAGAACGGAAAACCACCTCACTTTTCCCAGGTTCTGTCCTATGGAGGTCGCCAAAGGCGAAGGAGCCACTCGCGTCTTTGAGGGCTGCTCTTTCGGGCTCCAGGGTGCCACTGAACAAGAATTGAGCCAGGAAGGCTCGGAGAATCTGGACTCCGCTAGTGTATAGACACACACACACACCCCTCCCCATTTCCCTACATAAATCCATGTGGATCACGCTTCCTGGGGGTGCCCCTTGTCCGAAACCTCCACACTGGCAGTCCTCTCGCAATGCCCGTGCTCTCGGCATCCTTGGGGTGCGGTGCTTGGCATTTGCCTGGGACATTCTCTGCGGTGCTTTCCAAGGCAGGCCTTCCAGTGATTGTAGGAACGCACATTGATTGAAATTGCGATGCTTGTCTTTGCTCTGTCATGTCTGGGCCCTTCTACAGTATGTCAGAGTACAGCATGTGCCGAGGTTGAAGCCAGCCCGCGGCAGTCAGCCGATGCCCCAGTCAGCACGTCATTGCAAAACGGTAGGCGCTTGGTGGCAGCGAGCCTGCCAGTTTTTTTCTTGTTTTTTTCGCATTTTGTTCGCTCTCGCTTTGTTTGCGGGGAACGTTGCCCTCGTGCGAGTCAAACAGGTATCAATATGGAGACGTGCTCAAGCAAGAAGCAAGTCCGCGGTTTGAAATTTTCTGAAGTGTGCAAAGATTTGGGGGGTTTGGGTTACCCAGAGTACAGAGGCCTTAGCAAAGTGGCCTGCAAGGGGCCTCAGACGATACACTTTGCCCCTTCCTCTCGCCTGCTGACAAGTGCCAGTGTTGGCTTTGATCATTCTCCTTGTGGGCTTCCCATGGCTTCCCTAAAACCTAAACCCTAAACCCTAAACCCTAAACTTGGTTTGGTTTCCCAAGCACACTCCTGCATCCAAGAGCCGTGCCATGACCCAAAACCCTGTAAGCGGGAGTCCAGGCCAAAAGCAGCGCAGGCGCGGGTCCGCCAGTGGTCTTTTAGTGCATCTGAAAAAAACCCTTCCAGATGACTCTTCGGTGCTGTGTGCAAGTGGGGAAGCCGGCATTGGCTCACTGGAGTCTACCCTTGAGCGAAATTTTATTCAACCCTGCACCCCATTTTCCAGCAAGATCTAACGCAACTCTTATTAGTAATCGGACTTCTTCATCGATGCCTTGCTAGAAAGCGCCAGCGCCAGGAGCCAATGCTGCCACCGCCCTTGCAGATGGAGGCGCCAGGGCTGATCATCGGGCATGTACGCAGATGTTAAATCCATATTCAGTTCAAGGCTGGATCGGTTTGCGCCGTGCATTGGGTCCTTCCTTGCTTGTGGTGCCCATGCGTGACAAAAGCCCATGACCTATCAGGCCTTGCACACACGTCTCGCGGTGCCTTCAACAAAGGAGGAGCATGAGGAACTGTCCGCTGGCTAAGTTGAGCAACGGGCACGCCTGTGTTTTCGTGAGGTTTCGCACCGTCATGCCCGGAGTCTGTTGGATGGCATAAGAAAGCAAGCGTGGGCTGAACCTGGCTTCACCTAGCGCATGCCTCTGGAGCTGCATCGTGATGCATCGTGTCTGAGGTTGCGAAACCTCTCGCCCTTGGACCAGTTAGAACCTCAGAGGTCAGGCGGGTGCAGGCGGGTAGTGCAGCGAGCACAGGCACTTTGTGCTCGTGAAGGGGACCGGGGAGGGAAAGTCAGAGATTCGAGCTGCCATTGGAATCCCTTCTCAAGTTCCTATTGGTCATCTTGGAAAAGTCGCAATGCTTGGCTCGTTCAGCGTGTCAGCTCAAAGCTGCTTGTTTGGCGGCTAGCCGCAACCACATACGCTTCCTTGGATGCCATGTCATAATACGCTACAATACTATGCATTATTATCTGCTCTCAAAAGTTGGGGGTACCGCAGATCTTGGAGCACTGTAGTGAGCCCAGAAGACAGATGCAGAACTCAGGCGCTTCGACTGCACTCCGCACTCGAAGATGTTTGTGCCGGAAGAAGAGCACCTACTAGTGAGCACTTAACAAGCAAAGGTAGGCCTGTCGGCCACGCTTAGACCAGCGGGTGGGCACCATGGCGGGTGGGCAAGCGGCGCCACCTGCGGCATCCTGCCAGCACAAATCGGCATCGAATCGTGCTGTGCCGCAGTGGCTGTAGCTGATGTGCCTGCTGCGGACTTCTGGTCACAACGATCCCCAGTGTCCCAGGCGAAAACGCGCGTGTTCTTCCGCTTCTGGGATGCCTCGCCAGCACTTGGGCTCAACTCATGAGGCTCTTCATGTCTTCCTTGGGTTCATATAGTTATGGTATAGTTGGTTGTGCTGGAAGAGCGCAGCTGGACCTCGCGCAAAGCAGCCCGAAGTGGATCTATCATCGCTACGTGTCGACACATCACAAGATGTGGCGATCATGTCCAGCAGATGTATTCAGCATTGGGCATGTTTGAGCTGAACGGATGGTAGTCAGTGACGACCCGGCCTGTCGGGACAATGCAAGTCACGCTTGTCAGCTGCTGAGGTCGGAACGCACGAATGCATTCGTGTCTTGGGCAGCTGTGACTAGGCACAAGATTGCAAGCAACTGGAACCCAAGCATCCTAAATGGAGAAGTGTGCTCGATTTAACATCTTCAGTGCAAGGGCAAAGGGCAACTGTGTGAGCTGCGGCTCCTTGCAGCACCACACAGCAGCTCTTGGTGACCGCTGACTGCGGCCGACTTGCCATGAGAACGTCTGCTGCAAGGTCATGAGCTCGGCAGCTGGGATTTGAACTCGGCTGTGCAGCTGAGCCGGGTGGAGCAGCCCGCGGCCCCAGAAGCTTTAAGGGAAGCTTTAAGGCGTAAATGTTGGGCTTGGAGGCTTTTTGCGCTTGAAGCACTATAGGCGATACATCGATGGCAGCAGGATGTCAAAGTTTGTGGTCTCGCCTCAGGTGCAAAGGATGCTGGTGGACCACAAACAGCGTGAGGCAGCTCGGCCTGACGACATTTTCATGGGTGGTAGTTGCTAAACCCGAAGTCTTTCCTTTTCGACTCCCAACGTCCATGATGCTTACATCGTAGTGCTGCTCAACCTAACCTACCGGCTAGAACTTGGTTCAGGTGCATGCAACAGGTCCGAACTCCGAACATGCTTTGCACCGTCGACCGCATAAACCACAGCTTGTTGCCCAGTAAAATACTCACAACATCTTGCAACTCTCCTCTTTGAACCCGTGAACCGTGATGTCCCGGTCCATGTTCTTGGTAAAATTAGCAGTGTTCGGATGGCCAAGGATTCCTCTGAAAGAGCATTTCGAGCAGCTTGGCGTTGGGAACAGCGCTAAGGACTCCAGGTTATACACCTCGATGAGACGTCAGAGCTGTTAAATTTGGCTTTTCGACTCTAACTCCCACCTTCCGGAGCTGCCAGGTACCGCTATGCCATCTACAACTCAGACACCGATGACTTTATCCGGTGGACGAAGGACCTTCGTCTTCGAACGCCCTGCGCCTGCTTCCCCCACTCTTTTCCAGAAGCCGCAGCCCGACTGCCATCGGAGGAGGGGGAAGAACCGCTCTTCGCAGTCGCGACTGGCCTCGAGCTCAAATGGCTGGGGGGGGTTCTTCTACAGCAGTGCAGCAGCAGTGCAGCAGCTGTGCCCTTGACAAACCAGGCCCAGAACACTCGGAGTCAAAAGGGATCATATATCAGGGAACATCAGGGAACATACTCTAAACCATGAAACAGAGAGGCTTCCAAATGCTTCCACTGCCAGGCCGGACCTTGATTTTGGAAGATGACGATGGCCGCTGCCGTGCTACGGGCGACGACGAAGCAGGGCAGGCCAGCGTCTGTCTTAGAAACCATCTTGGATCATGTTGGTATCATTGTTCCCTGTTTTAAGGTTGTGGGTTTAGGGTCTGGGGCTTTTGGATACTGTTTATCAGGGGATCGGGCTTTCTGTTTCACATGTCCCGGATGTAGAGCAATTTACCTTTGAGGGCTGCAGCAAGGACTTTATCCTGTGCTATTTCGGTCTTACCTATTCATTATCCTGCTTTCAGGTTGCGAGGTTTACCCACGCTTTGTTGCTTGCCCGTGAAATTGCGTCTTTTTCAGGTTGGAGGGCTAAAAACCCTTCACAAGCTGCGCTCAGATCCTACAGTGTCCTAGAGTCATCAAAGAAATCTTCCCAGATGTCCACCGTGGCCTCTCGGGGAGCGTCCCTGGCTGCTGAAGCGCGACTCAGCCACAGAGTTGCAGGGCTTCGGGTGGTTTGGAGAGCATCTCTCAGCGTGAGTGCTGAAAGATGGCAAGGAAGCATGATGGTCAGAGCTCTGCTTGCACCTTAAGCGCCCCAAGGAATGTGGGCAGCCGACCTCCTAGTCCGTCTGGCTATCATGGGACGCTTGTCGTCGGCTTTGTTCCTGCAGGCTTTGATTGAGGATGGAGCAGCCTATTCAGTAGGTCACGGCCATCGGCGGTAGTGTCTTCAGCTGTAGTTCTGAATTTCTGGAGATTTAACCTTACAATTTTCTGGCGAATAGATTTCTATTCTTATAAGGAGTTCAAAAGCCTACTTATGGTTACAATTATTAGGTCCTGATAGAACAGACATGGTGTTTCAGAGTTATCAGACGGCGGCTCATGTCCTTGCCAACCTTAGCAGTCATGCGGCAACACATGATAGAAACCACCCGAAAGGCCCCTAAAATGTGGAAGATGGACATGGTTTTCACTTCCAAGAATCCAAAATCAACATCAAGCTGAACATATTCGCGTGGGCTCATGGTCAAAGATCCCAATTTCATGTTTGAAATCCACGCAAAGTTCGCAGCCCCATAGAGAGAGAGACACGCACCGCAAAGCGCGTAAGTCCCAAGTAGCACCTACAGCAGACCGGGCCTGGGACCGAGGAGCCAGCCGGCGAGCCCGAGAAGTCCGGCCTCTCCCCGATCTGGCAGCTGCTGGAACCAGCGCTCCAAGTCCATGGAACCTTGGCCTTCGTTTAAAATTCTTTGTTGATCATGTATAATCCCCATAGTCCCCATCGGATTGCACATGGTCTAGGCCGTCTTAGGGTTCAGGGTTGTTGTCGGTAGCTTGCTTATTAAAGGGACCCAAAGTCATCCCCAGGGAGTTGGCTAGGGCTGAGGCATCTTGAGGTTTGGAATCCACCTGCTGCAAAAGGAATAATATGAGCATATATAGGGTACCGGGTATTCTGAAATCGCCAGTTTGTCCGCTTCGGCTTCCAGCCGAGAGGCGTCTAGAACAAGCAGACCAGGATCTGGTCTCCTCCAACAAACAAACCCCGTCGCGCTCACGTGGAGAGGTACTTGCAAACGCTTGCGCGGGGCTGGCCCAACGCGGGGTGTAGCGTGCGCAACGTTGCTAGGGCCGCTAGCTTCGCTTTCGCGCGAGAGGGGGGGTCTTAGCGGAGAGTTTCAGAGGGGGCTCCCAGGAGGAGGGGTCCCAGCAGGAGCAAGATAATCCCAGGTGTTGCGATTTTGGGTATCTCTCCATTGCCATTAAGAGGTAAACGAATCAGGACGGGCTCGGAGACCAGAACCCCATAAAACACCGATGCCCGCAACCTGTGGTCGGAACCATTTGGAATCCTTCCATTCCAACGATCTCTCGGCCTCACGGTGGCTTTCTCTCCCCCTCTGGACTCTACACGGACTCATTTGAAAAACAATGTAGTGTGGAGCGCGAGCGCGCACTTGAGGCAGCCGCGCTGGTTTCAAAGGGAAACTGCAAGGCCCTCTAGGATATGCCTCTGCTCAAGTGAAGCATCCTCCGCTTGACCAAAAAGGATCTTTCTCAGAAGCTTCTTGTAATTTCTGTCATTTCTTGTCTCATCAAGATCTTGTTTATTACCGAGATTCGCCAGGGTACTGAATACCCGAGGCCATGTCATGCATGTCGATGGCAGAACACCACAGAGCAGAGGTGGATGCAAGAAATCCACATTTCAAGTCACACTCTGATTGCACGGGTGGGACTCGGCCCTGTGCAGGAGGCAAGATGGCGGTTCAACCACAGCCATGTACGCTTGTTGACATGTCAACTGACTAGTGATACTGGCGGCAGGCCCATCTCATCTCAGAGTCCAGTCTGTGTGCAGAGTGGTTGCATTGAGGACTTGACGCAGCTGTGCGACGTAACAAGTGACCCGGCGGCAACTGCAAGATACATTTGGGGTACAAACCACAGACCAGACCTTCCTGCTGAATTTCCCTTGTGAACCTGGGCTTGCCGAGGTGAGGACAGTGCCTTTCTTGTATTCCGAAGCCTGCCAGCCGCTGGGACCCATGTTTAGTGTTCTTGTCAGAACATGTTCTTGCTCAGATCCGCTGGATTGCTTGATGGGCAGCTTGCTGCACTCAAAGGGAGCCTGTGCACCCCCCTTTGATTCAGATTGGGCTTGCTAGCATGTGTGCTGAATCTTGATGTTCCGAGCTTCGCTGCCAGAGTTCGTGTGAAAAGAAACGTGGAGAGACTTTCGCTACACGGCAACCACGAGTGATGTCATCACTGCCCACTTCTCTTGGCTGTGTGGTGGCATGTAATTACTCGGGTGCTGGACTTCGATGTCGCTTGATTTTGCGCAAAAACACCCCAACAAGATGATCGACTCAAGGCAAAGGCAGTTTCGGCCAGAAGGGTAAGCACGACAAAGTTCAACAAAATTGAAAAGGAGTAGCCAACACTGGAAGCCTTAAAAACAGGTTTCGCACACGCGAACGAATTAAAGCAGAAACGCGGTTTGCAAGCGTACATGTCGCATACATCATGCAGAGCCACATGCGGCCATGAGCTATGATTCGCACTCCCTCACAACCCTCTTGACGAATCCTGCCAAATGGAGAGCTGCTTGTATCTTGAGCAACACACGTGCCTAGGTTCTGGTCAAGCGAGCCGAGAACGGTGACTGGCAGGTATCGGGCCTAGATTTTCCTCACGTGATTCCAAGCTCATCTGCAAGCTTCGGCGATGGCAGCCAGGGATTGTTCTTCCGTAGTGCCATCATGTGTGCCTCGTTCCTGCCTTGTCACAGCAAAAGACCTATAGTGGACCTAGCGAATCACATATTAAATGGTTCAGATTTGTTGCAGGGTCAACTGGGCTGAGCCGATTGACTTACATCGCCAACACCGAAGCTATAAACAGCCCTGCACGAGATCGCAGCGAACCGTAGCCTCGCCAAGGTTGAAAAGATTAGCCATGGAGCAGGCACCGCTCTGCCACTACTCAAACACTTCACGCTGCTTGGGCAGCAAAGCTCCAACCGGACCGATGTTTCTCATCTTTCTCATCTCTCTAGCTTCAAGGAGGGTCGGCCCGGTGAAGGGCCAGAGCATGAGAGGTCTGCGCTTCAGTAGGCTACTGTGCTTAGGCAGACTGGGAGCAACAAGCCGCCTGCCGGTGAAGCCATTGATGTGTCCGTGAAGTTCATCGGCCATCCAGGAGGGGCAGTTGTGGTCTCATGCGGCAGGTACCTTTACGTCAGGTCTACAGTGCTCGTCCAAGTCGTGCCTTTGACCTCAGCCCGCAAGGTGTGTGCGTCAGAGATGACGCGGACAGGCCGGGATACAAGATGAGCCGATTTACCGCGTTGGCCCCGAACCCAGTCCATGAGCCCTGAAAACCTGGAGGAAGCAGCTCACTGACCTCTTGGCGAAGCATTCTTGCATCCCAGTCTTTCTCGACGAGGAGGGAAATGGCTTATACTTGTAGAGGTGCAAGGTGTCCTTGCGACTTTTGTTGCGCAGACGTTGCATGTCAGAAAGCCCACAAGCTGCAACCGAAGTTCCGACCCTGAACCCTGAGCCCTAAACCCTGTCGGACTTCCCACAGACACAGATGTCAGCCGTCAGGATGTTGTGCAAAAGCACAACTTCTTCGCAGACCCATGTCCGCAGTTTATCAGGATTTGTGCTTGGTGGTGTTTCCACGCTTTGCAGACCCCCCCCCCCTCAGATTCGAGTTGTGCTTATAAGCACTTCGAGCCTGCTGTCGAACATAAGCGCGTGGTTAGCTGCAAGCACGAAGATGCAAGCAAAGGAAAGGTTGTAACATTCGGTTCAACCCAAGGAAGATTACCTGTGGCCTGTGTTTCACAACATGAAGATCTTCGATGCCACCATCACCGGCGACCATGCGCCTATCCAGCATGCTTGTGGCCTCCCCCAAAAGCCTCAAAGCCCAGTTAATACCTACGGTTGACAGCAGGTCTCTGATTAACCACCATTGTTCTCCAAGGAGTACGAGTCCTTCGACAAGGCACTCTGGAAGAGCTTCCTAGCCCTGAACAATGCATATGCGGACGTGATTACTAAGCACGGACTCATGGCGGCAAGTATCTTCCGCAAGCTTGTCAACAGCTTGTGCGGCGGCCAAGGAAGTGAATGGCCTTGCCAAGTCCTGTTGCCTGATGTCGTCCTTTATCCCCTGAATACAGCCCTCTTTGCCCGACAATTTCAAGGTGTCCCACGCGAAGTGGCTACGGCCCCTGGAAAACTAGATGTTGAGGAGAGCCCGGAGAGTACTAGAGTACCACCGGAACCAATGGTGGGAAGGCTCCTGTAGAAATTTGCAAACATTGCCAGGGGCACTCCCCTCCGACATGAAAGTTGGCTTCGGCACACGTGGTGGACTCTCCACCGCCCTGCACACCAACCCCTTCTGGCACAGCATACCAGTGCATGCACTGATTCGGTTCAAGCGACCCTGACACTTAGGAGATGAGAACACGCTCGTCTGGATTCACGACTACGAGCTCGATTCTTCGGCTGCAGAAGAATCTAGAGAGTGTCGACAGTTGTGCTGGCCTTCAACGCTCCCCACTTGGACTCGTGAAATGCCCTCCAGGCTTGCCACACAAAGAAGTGATAACTCGATAGCCCGTTGCCAGAATTGGCCATGAACATGAAAACGAAAATTGCAAAAGGCCAGCGCGACACCCTCAGCGGAAGAGATTCATTTCCAGACTGCCGAACCATCTTTTGGTCAGAGTTAGAAGGTGTATGGGTATGGGCGGTGTCGGATTTCACGTCGCTGGGTCCCGAAGGTGATGGTCCCACGATTTGTCTACCACCGCAACTTGGATAAGTCAGATCCTTTTTGTTGCTTTGTCACACAATGCCTCTTTGCGCGCTGACGTTCCTCAATTGGGTTCTGAATCTCAGGAAACCCGGACTTCACCACGGGTCTGTTCCTCCACTGTGCATTTCCCAGCACAGAGGCAGGGCGATGAACTGATGAGAGTGAAAGCGGGGTGGAGGAGGAATCTGATGGGAGACCAAGAGAGACATGTTGCGCGTGCGAACGACAAACGATGGTAGGCATGCCAGGCACTATCGAATTGGATACCAATTTATTTTGCCGCACACGCTCGCCGAAGCAGGTGATGAGCTGCTTACCCGTTCGAGAGGACATCCTGCAAGGAATGCTGAGCAGTAGGCCGGGCGAAGCGCTAGGGAGGAATCACTACTATCGTATACTGCTAGAGACAGCCTCTTAGTTCATGCAGCATATGGCAGCATACTATGATCTTCAGCTCCTTCAAAAAGATGAGCAGTTGCAGGGGCCTTTGCAAGAGATGGGCGTGCTTCGTGTGTTGGTGTCTTGCATGACGCAGCAGGCTGGTGACCTTTCAGACGTTCGATTACCTGAGGCCGTGGGGCGGAAAATTCGAACCTCGCACAGCGCAAGCACAATTCTGCAAGTTTCATGCTGCACAGGGCACGCCGCTTACATCTGAACCATCTTAACCCTTGAAGTTGAGAATCGCGTGGGCATTGTGCAGAAATCTCGTGACAAGGGTTCGGCTGGGGCTCCAAACTGACTCATCGCTAGGTGCAATTCTCAAGTTGGATATGGATGATATGGGCATCGTGCCCTCCAACTTGCCACCCCAAAGCAAGACATCGTGAGTCGTTCACTTGAACATTGCTTCCACAAGCTGAGCAGGCTGCCGACGTTTGTGCCATGTTACTTAGTCGATCAGCCATCCAGCACCATGCCCCGCGAGGCACTTCATGTCCTGCTGCTCGGAAGTGCTGGGGACGCGCCATTCTTTTCAGAAGGGCGGAATCCTGCAGGCGGGCGTCCTCGAGTCTTGAATCGGTTGACTTTGGGCACTTTAGGCTAGGATGTTCGCAAGCATGGCAGGGGCAGGTTTTCAGCCCAGGGGAAGCGTTCTGTTCAGCAAGGAACCTCATGAGCTCGCTGACGATGTGTGCTGGGCTTCCGAGCCGACACGTCTAGCTCACACAACTTCGCATAACGTTTTCTCCTAGACTCGGGTCTCACTGAGAGCAGCATCTAGTTGCGGGGCAACTGCCTGCCTCACAAGCCCCTTCATGAACTTCATTGCTCCTCATCACTACTGCGGTGCGGGCTTGGCGAGTTTAGTCTCTCCGGTTGACATCTTCACCGTTTCACATTGAGTTGAGAAAGTTAGACTGTGCATACCTCAAGCACGCCTTGCTGCAGTTGCCCTCCAGCCACATCGCCGCTGCCTGTTTGGGATCAGTCTGCACGTTGAACGTTGAACCCGAACGCCCTGCCATGGGGGCGCTGGACTGGGCAGAGGTGGACTGGACACAGTTGCCGTCGATAATCGGCGACCCTTCACGGCAGAAGGAGCTGCAGACGCTTCTGGAGGCACCAGATCTATACTGTAGCAGCATCCAAACTAGAGTCCTAAGATTAGTAGAGTGAAGTCCAGTAGCATCCTGGTCGTGGTTTAATTGTCCCTCTACGGCTGGGCGGCATTTGCAGGCAGCTCTGGACAGCTTGGGCATGCCGCTTTCGGATCTCTGCGGTGCCGTGGACTCCCGTTTTTCACTGAATTACAATGACTTTGTATTCGCATGTTCTTGGCCTCACTGCATAACACCTGGACTCTTTTGAACTTGAACCAGCTCGTCACTGACTCGCGATTGTTCAGCGGCAGATGATTCGTGTTCGGGTTGGTTCGGTTTGGTGATGTCCATGTGTCACACGAGGACCTTTGCATCCTGGGGATCTTTGCGCTGCAAACGATATCTGGTTCTAGCCTGTTGAAGGAGAAGGTCTTGGGGCGACAAGTGCAAACAGCTATGGAGCGAAGTGCAACAGACTTCGTGCGGATCTTGCGCCGCTACATCCCTGCAGGTCGGACAACCTTGCATGCCGAGTTTGGCACCGATCGTAGTGGAGACACCCTGCCGCACGTGGCCATGCAGCTCCTGGGCAGGCTCCTCTACCGACTTGCAGACCTGCCTCCGCTGCATGATCTGCATTCCGAGGGGTTGCAAGGGCAGTTTGCCTTCGGGAAGAATTGGCGGCAGTTCGTGGAGCGGGGCCGCCTCTCCGCCGCCGGGCTGCTCAGCGCTGTGCAGGAGCTGCGGCGCTGCGCCGGCGGCTTCCAGCGGAGCTTCCAAGGGCTGAGGGTCCTGGACTTGGGCTGCGGCTCAGGAGTGCGGAAAGGCTCTTAACACCACTTCGCAGAAGCAGACTTTAGTATTTAGGCCCTACACAGTATACAGGCAAGCTGCACATTTCATGTCTCTACTGGCTCCCTGTGTTCGGAGGACTGAGCTCCCTGGCTTTCCGGCTCCTCGGAGCTGAGTTCGTCCTCTCTGCTGATGTACAATCGGCATCCTTGGATGCAGCCCGGCAGCTACGGCAGCTCTTTAACGAGGACCACCAGCAGTGGCAGCTAACGCAGGCTTCAGCCATGGACGCTCGATCTCTTGCCGTTTTGGGGCCAGTTGACATCGTTTACACATGGGGCGTCTTACACCATACAGGTGATGTTTGGCAGGCCCTCCACAATGCCCAACTGCCGTTGACTGACGACGGCCTGCTATTGGTGGCCTTGTATGCTGAAGAGTTCTACGACGAGAAGGAGAATGTCCTGGCAATGAAGCAGTTTTATCGGAATGCCACTCCGTGGCAGCAGGAGCAAATCGAGATTGCAACAGGCCCAGTTGTGCCACTGTAGCTACTGCAATGCTGCACTGCGGTCTCCTGATATCGCGGGGGGGGGGGGGGGGGTCGCTGGCAAGGCTTCCCTGGGCCTGAAGCTTGAAGCCAGTGTGCTTTTTTGGGCCTGGGCTGAAATCCTTTCAAAATTGATTGCTTGGTTTTTGCTGAGGAAGAAGAAGCAAAGGATGTCTTGGGTTCGAATGTTGAAGAAAAGTGTTGAAAACCCTGCCAAATTTCGGATGACCCGAAAGAATTAACTCGATTTATGAATTGGATCCTGCCGAAAAATTTTTCAGACACTCAACTCAAGAGGGAGATCACGCATTCATTGCTACCTTTGATGTTGTCAATGACGGGAGTATTGTTGCAAGTGCTCTCGTGCTTCTCATGTAGCTGTCCATGCGCCTGCAACAGGTCTCCACTGGCTGCGGCCACAACTGCGTGATGGCCAAAATCCGTTTGAGGTGATACGGAATTTCTCCGAGATGCGTGGGATGGACTTCTGGACGGATGTTCGTGACTGGTTGGGGGGCTGGCCCATGGAGTTTGTCAGCTCCTCGTCGGTTTTGGTCTTTGCAAAGCGTGCCGGACTCCGTTGCATCAGCATGCGCCGAAATGGTGGCAACACCGAGTTCGCATTCACGCGGCCGGCAGGCGTTGAGCGTTGGACGGCGGCCCAGCGGTGTGAACGCCTAAGTGGCTTTGAAGAGGACACGGAGGGCAGCTTTTTCCAGGTGCAGCAGTACTTCTATGCCTGGCCCGATGGCAGCTCCTCCCCTAGGAGCTGGTGGTTTTGCAGGTTGCCTGAGTCAATGCGTGAGCACTCGGATGGACGAGCAGAGCCCCAAAAGAGTCGGCTCTTGTTGATGACCGATGAGGGGCCCTTTGGCTATCCGAGTGCCCAGTTTGCTCGCCCAGATAGCTTGGCAGACAGGCAGTTGTCCTTCCATGCTTTTTGGGAGGGCTTCGCCTATATGTCTCCGGGTGAGCTTTCCTTGCCCCCCAACAGGGATTTTCGAAGCGAGCTTCGCGTGTGTCTCTTGCCCCCAGCTGAACTGTCCCTGGTACAAGAAGCAAAGATCAACGCTCAAGCGCAGCAGGCTGGACTTGATATGTCCTGATTGCAGGCACGAAGATGCCAGGCATAGGCGGTATAGTGACCACGATGTCCGCAGCATCACTGAACGCAGCGGGTCAGCGAACGTTTGGGGCCAGTTCCTTGGGCAGGCGACATGGAGGTCAAGAGCAGACAAGGGGGAGACTTGGTGCACTGCGTTCTTGGAACCCGCACTATTCAACACTATGCAACTGGCTGGACATGCTGCAGACCTGTGCTTCTCAACTCGAAGTTGCGGGGCCACAACACAAGGAGCCCACTGTCATTGTCTCGGTCCGCATGTGTGTGATTGGAGCAAGCGATGGCGGGCGTGAACGGCGATGATTGCAGCAGAAAGCAGGCAAAAAAATAGCTTTCCCCAAGTGAACAGTGTCTGCAGGCAGCGCAGTTGGCGAAGCTCCTTTAAACCCAGCAAGAAGAAGAGGCTAAAGGACCAAACGTTGCATCCCTTCCCCAGCAAACCCTCAAGGGTAGTAGATAAATGCATGCCAGCAGGTCCCGGGGACTGTCCTAGACTCGTCCTAGACAAGCCGAAAAGACCATAAACGACCCTATATGATAGCTTGCTTGGTTTGACGCGCTGTTTCGGATCCCCACCGAAGAGGTCGAACATGAGTCTCGGAGTGTCGTCGTCTTTGCGGACCACTTCGCGATCCCCTACAATCATCTCATCAAGAAGATCTCGGATGACAAGGCTCGGAACCTGGCGATGCCACACTCGTTTGCTATACGCACCGACAAGGTGTAGGTGTGTTGCTTGGCCCCGCGAATGAGAGGAAGGATATGGGTTCCGAGGGATCCTGTAATCTTGAAAGATGTCCTGCACAAACTCGTGCACAAACTCGTGATCGGTCCCCTTCAGCTGCTTCACCTGCTCTAGGTCGTGGAGCGCGCTGCTTCCATTCGAAACAAGTTCAAAGGGAAGACCATCATCGGCCGCTCGGTCAGATCTTGGGGCTTGTGATGCAGTGACTCTACTAGTGTCAGGCTTTGAAGAGGTTTGGCCAGGCTATAGGAGTTGGCCTCGGCGCACGGGGCCGGACTGAAGCGCAAGATGAAACTCCAGGTGCCTATGATCGATTCGACTGCTTCAGCGGGCTGACGCTCAAACTGCGCACCTTCCACCGTTTCTTACAGGCGGGAATTTTCTGTGGGCATGTTGGCCGGCCATACAGACCATCATCTTGTCTGTTTAGTTTTGTGCTCAACACACAAAGGACCCTCAAAATCATTTGGGTGCCACAACTTTCCCAGCTTTTGCTTCACCCTGAGGATTATCGCTCGCACAGGCCGTGGGTACGGGAGCCTTTTGTCGGTGGACTTTCTTCGGATCATGTGGCAAATGCCGCCGTGATGCTCGAAAGTCAGAGGTTGATTAGTTGCGAATAGTTTTAAGAGTTCAGGGTTAGGGTTGCAGTCCAACATGCATCTGCCAGCTGGCAAGAGGATGTGAGCGCAGCAAAAATCGATCCAATTTGGTTCAACTGCAAGCCCCAACTCTCCAAAGCCCTAAACCGAAGCGAGTTTGATTGCCACAGCCAGAGGCGGAGTGTGGTTCTTGTGCAGTACGTTCGCGCCCGCGCCACAGACTCGAAGCGGAAGGGCATGGCAACCAAGCTGCACGCAAGCTGGGGCTTTTGGTGAGCTTGCTCGGGAGCTTCTTGGTTTATTTCAAGCACCCAAGTTCCTGCTCCCACCTACCCTCCAAACATCTCCATACCCCGAATGACCGGGTCTCAAAGGTGCTTAGGTGGACAGTACAGTACAGGACGGTGAGCTGACCATATAGAAGCTTTGCCGTGAGTTCCGTGCATGCAACAACTTTAATCGAAGCATGGGGGCATGTGCAAAGTTCGAAAGGCTCGAGGAAGGCCCTATCCCATATTTTCTGTCTCTGAGTTGCACCATTTAGGTCCCGATACTGCTACTTTTGTCCAAACCAGTTTTATCTCAGGCTTTCCAGGTGTCCGTCTCTGAAGCAGGGTTTTGGAGTACTGGAGCATTGCCTAAACTGACCCTCCCAGTTGTCTGTCCCGGAAACTGACTACATACAAACTTTAGTGCCGGATCCGCTGCCCACAAATGAACTTTGATTAGCCGTGTCGCGTTCTAGTTGCGGGGTCGTACGTATTTCGTTAGACAGAACTCGAATCCCTACAGATGACGTGACCGACATCTCGGCTTTCCTTGAGCAGGTAACCATTGAAGAGCTTCAGCAGATGGCAGCTCCCAACTCAGCGTTCCTAGTGTTGTTTTTTGTGATTGTTGGTTTGAGGCAGTTTGAGGCTTGCGGGAGCCATGTTTTGCTTTCCAGAGGGGGCATCGATTTACGGGAAGAGTCCGTGACTTTGTAGGGGATGTGGTGGGTTGAAGGGTCCAGGCAATGGTCCTTGCAGTCCTCCCCGATGTCGCTTTTGACTTGAGGATGCCACCAACAAAGCCTTCGGCGTGGAAGGCGAGCCACCGCTGGTCAATATCGTCGTGGAGGTGCGGAGATCAATCAGCCAGCAGCTGCAGACAGCTGACATCGAACGCCCCACACATGCACACCATGGCCGAATCAACACAGAAGCCTCAGATCATTCTGCGAAAGTGCAGATCCCAAATTCTAAGCTCAGTTGTTTGGCTTCGCATGCTCCCGCTCTGCTAGGAGGTAACCCGAGAAAGGCAGCTTGGAGTCCTCTTGGCGCCTTGGCTTCACCGGCCAAAGACCAAAGCTACATTGAGCGCACGATGAAGTATTTTTTGTTTCGTAGTTGAGGCTGCCAGCTTTGCTGTTCGCGAGTGAAGTGTAGACACGCATGGGCACACGCGAGAGATTTAAAATCTGTTGACTGCAGGCTTCATCAGGTTGCGGTCCCTCAAGTGTGGGTCAGTTTTGTATGCCGGACTTTACTCAGTTGCAGAGGGAATCTCCGCAAACCGCAGCCAAAAAGCCCCATAACTTGGCCAAAGACAATTTGTGTCCACAAGGCGACGGACATCCTTCTGGATACGTCCACCAATGATGGCTTGAACCTGATTCCTTTCAACTTCTACGCGGCGCACTCACAGGAGAGGGCGTTCGAGGCCGTTTCCAGGCACAGGCAGTTGTCATGAACCCCAAATGCGGAGACTCAGACACATAAAGAGGGTGTCGATAGGAATGCACTATCTTGAGCGGAGAGCCTCAAAAAGTAAAGTCAGGATTAGCCTCAGCTTCAGGACCAGAAAGGTGTGGCCTTGATATCGGAATTCTGCGGCTGCTCCTCCGTGCTGACAGGCATCCGGGTTGCAGCCTAGGCTTCACTCGTGCTCATGCCGGTCTGATCGTTCGGTCAGGTTCTAGAGTTTTCTAGAGCACGGGCCTCCCAGAAGTCCATCTGCTCAAAAGAGAGCCCAGGCGCCTTCAAGATCAACCCCTGGAACACGGGCGCGGCCAAGAGCTCAGGAAGAGGTTGTTCGGGAGCGGGCTTCATACATGGCTTCAAGCCCTCAGGGTTTGAGGCTCCGTAAGCTTTGGAGTTTAGGGCTCGGGTGTCGAACTCAGACAGATCTGTGATGATCCATGCCTGTTGATCCCGAAAGGAATCCGACAAAAACCAAAGAAAGACGGAACGCTGTTGGAGCATCGGCCCTTGTTTTCCCGCGGAGTCTTGCTTAGGTCCTGACCGCCCTAGATCAGGCGATTAGCAGCTTGGCTTCGCTTTTCATGTGAGAGCTTTGAGGCGACGGTGACTAGAGGCGACTTGGGTAGACAGCTCCTCTGCGCTTCTTAGACTTTTAGACGTCCGCTCTCCAAGGGTATCATGTCCTAGGCTCTGCCTGGGCATCTTGGATAAATTTCGTAGCCGTTTCTAAACTGCAAGGCCGTCGCCTGCTGTGCACTTATCTGCTAAGCTGCTCTCAGGCATCACACCCGAGGACCAAGCCCTGCGCTTCGCCAAGGACGCTCGGCCCCTGAAGATACGATGGAATTTCATGATTGACGAAGCGAGACCAAAGAGAAATAAGATAGCTAAAATATAAGGGGACATTTGTAGTTAAAAGAGTTCTCAAAAACCATTCCAGTAATGCTTTTGCAAATGAGTTTAACATTTCCTCATCATTCAGTATTAGCAGCTGGAGTTATAAGAAGACCAAAAATCGCACTCATGAAAAGAGCACATTAAGTGGCTTCTCAATTGTGACGGTGAAAAGATGAAAGGAATGAAGATAGCATACTTCCCTATTTGTTTGTTACGATTCAAATGAGTATGAGTGAAGTAATCTCTATTTTGTCTATTCACTTTGTACACTGTTTTAAAACCCTTGCAATACCATTACAGCGGTTCGCAAGCTCCCTTCAACATCTTATTTAAACAGGTGATGCTGTTTTGAGTTTGGGTCTTTTGGGGGCAAATACCTGTTTATTTACCAAAGCGTTCCTTGCTGTTTATTTATACCCATTATCAACAGTACCTGAGGGGACCCTCCTGGACTGTAGACCAACCTGTCAACAGGGCAGACAACAGGGCTTGAGGTGTGTAGGAAGCGAATGGCGCCAGGATCACTCCTATGTCTCGACGCAGACGCTCGTTCAGCGCCTAGGCCACAAAGGAGCAACGTGAAGGTTTAGACTTATGGAACTGTCCACCGGCAGCCCCAGAAGTGATGAAGCAGTTGTCAAGCTCCTGTCTCACCGGCCCTGGAACAGCCCTTGCAAGCATGCTAGACAACTTTCAAACCTCTGAGCCTTTGAGTGTCAAGAAGTGACGACGAACGAGTGTGGTGTCAGGTGGGTCCACAAGAACCTGTCTGAGCTGAAGGTCACCAGGATGGGCCAAAGCCTGACGTACCGCTCATCAGCAGGTTGGAACAGATGCCATTCTGTCTATGTCCATGTCTCACATGCTTGTCCCAACCATGATGCTTTTATCGGTGGGCGTGCGGATCATAATTTCCAACACGTCGCAAACTCTGCGAAGGCAAGGTGCCGAAGGCTTGACCACATCTGAAATGGTTTGCTTAAATCTGCCGACTTCGGCCCTGTAGGTCCGGTCCACCTACCTTTTGACGATGCGTCCAGGCTGCAATTCGAAGATGGCCAGGCAGAGTGTGACAACGCTTCAGTGGATGACGCTGACTCTCTGAATCTTCCACCTGGGTCCTGTGAAGTGCAGGGGCCGATGGAGCAGTGCTCAAGAGTACAGAAGAGCGCAAGGGTTCGGCTTGGCCACAAGGTCGTTGCAGCTTACAACAGTGCGAAGAAGCGAGCCATCTTCCTCGACAACGAGGCGCATGTGAGAGCGGAGAGCACTCCAGCAGTTGTTGCTCGCAACCGGCCGGCGCCCGTACTGAACTGTGAGATAAGACAGCTACAGGGCCCTATGCCAAGGATGTTCAGCCTCTAAGCTGCCCCAGGGCTTGGGATTCTCTTGACGGGTTCTGTGAAGCAACCTGTCGCCATTCTCCATTCCACGTGCTGGCAGGGCACCATTGCTGCCAAGCAAAAATGGCAGATCGAGCGCCGCTCTCAGTGCCGCTTCTTGGGAGTTTGCATGAAGTTTGCCCAGATTCTACGACGCTACGACTCGGGAGTGCGGGCCCAGGTCGACGACAATGGTGGCCTTGCAGAAGCAAGGCCAGATGTCGATACACTTCTCATGGCGTGTAAGTAGAGTCGCGAGAGCTGTAGGGCCACGGATCCATAAGAGCACTCAAGGCGGGAAAAGTCAGCATGTGCAGGGCAGCCTCCGGACCCTTACGTTTTGGACCTGCTCCAAACCCTGGCCAATGACCGCGGGAACACGGTTGTGGCCACCTGCCTTACTTAAGTACAGCGGATTTCATCTGTTGAGCGGAAACGCGAGCAGCCATTTGCGGAATGAAGTTCAGCGGTTCAATGAATGGTTTGAATTGTAAGTGCCAACATCGAGTTTGCGTGTGGGGCTTTCAGGAAGAAGGATTGGCGCTCACAGACCTAGCCACTGAAGAAAACAGCACTACAATTTAATTGTAAACGCTTGCGCGCGCCGCCTCGGCAGCCGGGCCGGCCCCAGGACAGGAAAGGAGGAAAGAGGGATTCTGAATAAAAAGGGGGGTCCAGGTCCACGGGTCGTAGGGAGGAAAGGGGGGTTGGGGGGTGGGGGGGTTTGGGGGGGGGGGGGGGTTTGGGTGGGGGCACAAAAATTTGTGTGTGGGGGAAGGGTTGGATTAGGGGGAAGGAGGCCCGATCCGGGTCTGCTTGCTCCAAACGCTTCTCGGCAGGAAGCCGAGGCGAAATTGACTTCCTAAGTTGTTGCATCTGTGTCGCCTCCCGGGCTTGGCATGGCTTGGGGACTTGGCCTAGCTGGAAACCGCCGGCTGTGCATTGAACACCCCTCATACTCCCGCTGTCATGATGTTTATGATCAGTGGCTTCTCCTACAACAGACTTGCAGAGTTTTTGCGAAGAGTATTGAGGGCATGTGAGGTCACTTTTCGCGTCTGGGTGTCCACCCGGGGGCCCTAGGGCCCTAGGGGGTCTTTAGGATAAGTCCCGAGAAAATTCTGCGGTCTGATTAAACACATGTTGGAGAAAGTGGAGGCCTCAATCCGCAACCCTTGAATCACCCCACTGGCAAAAAGCAGCGGCAAGGGCTGCAGTCACGAATCCTGTCATGATTTGCGCAGTCTTTCTGAGTACGTGTTCACTCTTGCATTCTTTCTTCATTGAAAAGGTGTTTGATCCGAACCGGCGAAACGGCGACAGTTTCTGAGCGGACGCATGTCTGACCGACGCCTGTCTTTTGAGGTCTTATCGGGTCGCCGCAAGAATGTCATGGAGGCGGGGCATGGACTCGGAGGGTACACAAGGTGGTCCCTTTGTCGGGGTGGAGAAGCGAAGCTCTACAGTGTACTTTTTTTTTTGACTACTGGAGGTGCCTGCAGTTGTTCGCAACATCCGGGGGCGGCACACTATCACTAAACAACATAAAGCAACTACAGAGGGTGCAACATGTCACCCAAAGTGTCATGTTGGTTGATGGCTCGAAGGAGTGGTTCGGCTCGGTTGACGGCCTGGGCCTCTTTGCCGAGCACGGTTGCCACCGGCTCCTCCCGCGCACCCTTTCTGTGGCCTCTTTGCCTGCACTTCAACAGCTTATAGGATGTGTCAGAGGCTTAAGAGTGCTGCAGGCAGAATGCTTTGAAGGAAGAGAAGCGGCATGATCGGCACAGTTCTTGCGGTTTATATTGATAGTACCTGGTAGCTCAATTTGCATGAGAAGCGCAGCCCGCACCGCAATTGGTGAACGTGAAGGACATTCAGCGGCTTGAGTCGGCTTAAGCAATGCAGTCCATGCTATGAACTGTGCGGAAAGTAGTTCACGCCCTATGGCGTGGTTTCAAAGAAGGTTTCGTGTGAGGAGCATCGGGTGTCAGAAGACTTGTACAAATCAGTTTTGCCTCCACCTTCCAGTGCTTGCAAGCATTCGGTTCTCACTTCCAGGAGCTCCTTCGGCCCGAGGTCTTAGCGACCGAAAACGTGCTACGCTGTGTAACTCCAAGCCATCCTTAGGATAGCTTCGCTTCAGCCATAGGCTCCTGACTCTTTTCCTTCAGATCTCAGATCGACTTCGTGCGAGCAGTGCGGAAAACGACTACCACTTCTTGCATCACATTTTTGGCGACAACAGATTCCCTGGAAGCCACATAGAAGAGGAGAGCCCAACACGCTGACCGATACTGGCAGCGGAGCTCGATCCAAGAGCTCGCGGTGGTGACCAGACGAATCTGTTTTGGACGGCTGGGGCTCCCGGTCTTCCCCACTTGCCTGTGAAGGGCAGAGTTTGTCTTCGGCGACATGGAGAAAGACTACGATGCTTCGCTGACTCGGTGCAGTTGGGACGGTGATCCCGCTGGGTGGACGGACTTCGTCAGAAGGGTCCGGCTACTTTATGAGAAGACACCAAGGAAGAAGCGTCGACAATTGGGTCCCTCCATTGTTGCCCAACTTCGCGATAGAGCATGGACAATAACGCAAGACGTCAACCACCAGAAGCTGACTCGCCGTGATGGCTCCGTGTACCTGTTGGAGTTCCTCCGAGATCGTCTCGGACGGTCTCCGATTCCTGATGTCGGAATCAGGCTAGAGGAGCTCATGATCAGGCTCCGTCGAAGCCCCGGCACTGCAATGAGTTCGTGGGCCTCACAGGTCCGCCAGACATACAAGCGGGTGCAGGTGGCTTTGCATCGAGCCCGTAAAGAACATGGACTTCACGTCAGCCAAGAACCTCAGGTTCGTGAAGCCGTCCCTCCTCGGCAACCTTCAGCTCCCTCTTCTCCAAGCAATGCCTCCCGGCGTGATCGAGGATCTCCGACGCGCAGAAGCAGCGAGACAACCCAGGAACCGACAGCAGAGGAAGAGGGGCAGCCCGAAGAGGACGCCTTCGACGCGGAGTATGACGAGACCGAGTTTGAGCTTCGAGATGCTGGCCCTAAGAGGAGCTGGCAGAAAGGACGAAAGAAGAAACCGGATGACGATGACGACGACAGCGACGACAGCGCCCAGATGATGAAGGACTTGGAGGTGTGGGACCGCTATGAGGAAGGCCTGGAGGAAGTGTTGCCAGGAGAAGTCCTTGGCTGGCTGCTTCTTCGTCGTGCCAACCTCCCGACAAGTGCAAGACTCTCCATCCAGGCTGCGGCAGGAAACTCTCTCCTGTTCACCGACATCGAGAGGGCCATGCGGTCTATGGAAGATGAGTTGATGGTGCATGATGAGGCCAAGCGGAACCGTCAACCCCGCCGCAGGTCTTTCTGGGTGGAGGAAGAAGGCGAATGGAGCCTCGTGATGGCGCCGGAAGAGGACTTGCAAGAGCTCGTTTCTTCCAGTGAGGTCCACTACGTGGGTTCTCGGCTTCCCCCAGAGGTGTACTACCACCATGAGCCGGAGCCGGCCAGCTACCATGGCGAAACAGGCTTCTGGCATCAGGATGATGATGGTGCATTCTCCTTCTGGGAAATGGCTGAGGACGGCGAGTTCTACACCCAGGACACGACAGGACTTTATTGGGCCTGGCATGATTGGGAGGATTTCAGTGGTGGCACCTCGACGGCTCCTTCCGATGCCACGCGCGACGCTGAAGATGCCTTTTCCCTCCAGGATCCCAAGTCTCGCAACTTCACTCAAGCGAGACAAGCAGTCAAAGCCCGAAACCTCAGTCGGGGTTTTTATCCTTTCAATCCTGGGAGTAAAGGGAAGCCTCGTTTCAAAGGTAAGGGCAAAGGTAAAGGGAAAGGAAAGCCGTCCTTTCCTCGTTCTCCTCCAGCTCCCATCTTGGCAGCGACCTCCGACATCTTTGCTCAGCCTGGAGATCCATCCTTCTCAGGCTGCTTCGTGTGTGGATCGAAGGAACACTCGTGGAGGTCGTGTCCCAAGAGGTCCTCTACTGGCAAGGGCTCCTCCAAAGGCAAGGGCGCCCGCAACTTCATGGCTGAGGGTATCTTCATGGTCTCCCCCGACTCCCCGCGCGAGATCCTCCAACCCGACAAGGGCATCTCCACGATCCGCGACGGGGACAAGCATGAGATCCTTGACACAAGGACCCCAAGCGACATGTGTTTGGATTTTCGGTGGGGTGAACTTCAAGACACTTCATACGTGGTGACTTCACACCAAATTGATGATGCTTTTGCTTCGGGACAAGGGGAGGCTCAGCCCAGGGGACACGCGGTCATTGACTCAGGAGCAACTGAGACCGTCGGCTCGCTCCCTGCTATCGAGGACTTGATGGCAGTTAGATATGAACTAAATGGCGTCCCCGACTCCTTTCAGATATCCTCAACTCCTCCCAGGAGATTTCGATTTGGAAACGGATCGATTGGTTTTTCCTTGTCACAAATGCTCATTCCTCAGGACTTGGGTCCCGTCCGTGTGGATCTAGGAGTGTTTTCTCTGGACGTGGAGAATGTCCCAATCTTGATCGGCATAAAAACTCTCAGGGCTCTGCGCACCGTGCTGGATTGCCATCAGGATGTGGCGGTGTTTGCTGCACTGGACCCCTCCACAGGGGTTAAGCTGCGTAGAAGTCCCTCAGGACATTTGTTGATCGATTTGAGTCGCAATTGGTTGCAGGATTCCTTCTCGATTCTTTCTCCCGCAGCGAGGATTCCTGAGGTGCCTCCCACAACCTTCGAGGCAGAAGAAAACATCGGTGCAGTGTTTGTGCTTGAGCCTTTGCCATCTGATTTCCAAGCTCGAGGGGATACTCATCTTGAATATGAAGCAGCACCTGAATCTCCTTCTTCGTGTCCTGCAGTTCTCTTTCACTCACGAGGGTGTGCCGATAGTGCTCCTGGAGAAGACTCCAGTGGGTGCCTTGAAGATCCCTTTCGAATCCTTCGTGCTCTTGTACGGGGCCATGGCCACTCCGACTGCCGAGAGCAACGGCTTGTCTGCGGCAGCGGTGGAAGCTTCAGTGGCCAAGGCCAAAGCTGCGGTGAAGCCTGCAGCGTTGAAGGCCAAGGGGAAGGGGAAAGGCACCAAGCCCAAAGCAGAGCCTGCCCCCGAGTTGGACTGGAGCAGGATCGAAGAAGCCAATCCCAGGGACGTGCGCTTGAAGGGGCCCCCATGTATGGGATCCCATGTCGTGGCGACAAGGAGCAACCAACATGCCATGTGGCAACTCTGCACCCGGTGCAGCCTCAGGCTCACTTACATCCCCCGGGTTGGCAAGACAGGTCTCCACCGTGCCGCCGGACCCCTCAACCTCGATGTCCAGGAGGTGGTGACCGAGACCAAGGAGGATTTGGCTTTCAACCCTCGCCTGAAGGATCAGGCCATTGCTCTTCAAGCTGCAGAGAACAGCATGGTGCGCCAGCTCGAGAAGATCAGGACGCAGAAGGACAAAGTGATCCCCAAGCAGGGCCCAATGGGAGCAAGCCCTCTGCCACCTTCCTCACCTTCGAGCGCCAACGCCGGAGCTGCGAGCCCAAAGTCGACCGTTGTGGTGAACCTCGAAGAGGCGAGTGCAGAGGGTATGAACCAGACTCCTGGGAACAAGCGACATCAAGCGATCCCAGCGGAAGAGCAGGAGTATCAGACGAGAACCCAGGGCCCGCAGTGATGCATGTTGTAAAGCAAGGTGTGCGAGAGATTGAAGACCTCGCTCGCCAGATGTGCCACGACCAACTCTTTTCCTTCAAAGATTGTGAACAGCTTCTTTTCCAGTTCATGGCTGTCCGTGAAGCCATCTCTCAGAGCAACCGCAGTACTCTTGAACCGAAAAATGGGACTGGGTACAACGTTTTCGGCCTCTTCTCACATGGGAACATGTCCGGCATCACTCGAAAGAGTCACGAGCTTCCATGGTTGTGCAAGTACGTGAACCTCTTCGGCAAGCACCACCTTGCTCAGGAGGGATCATGTTGGACAAGTTTTGCGGTGAACTTTAATCAGCCCATGAACATCCATCTTGACCCCAACAATGATCCTGGTAGCAGCAACTTCACTTGCTCCTTCGGAGACTTCAAAGGGGGACAATTATGGGTGGAGTTGACTGAAGATAGCGATCCCAGTGTGAGCCCGGTGCGATGGAAGACCAAGCGTAACGGTCAACGAGTACCAGGCCATCTTCACACAACCCAACATCGTTTCATTCAGTTCTCTCCCAAGAGTTTTCATGCGACTGATCGCTGGTCAGGTACCAGAATCTCTTTGACCTTTTACTCCTCTCGGTTGATTGCTCAGAGTACGGAAGCCCGACGAGAATGCCTCAAGAAACTGGGGTTTCCTTTGCCCAGGTCCGTCAGGCCTTTGAAGTACGACGACAACGAGGGCGAGGACGCCTATGCCGTTGATCCAGTTGAGGGACAGGGCGCGGGAGAAGTTCTCTTGTGCCAGGATGTCCGTCACCTTCTACAAGCCTCGTGCGAGGAAGTGTGGGATGAGGTCAACTCACTTCTTGATGTGCATGGCAGGGACCCTCACTGTTTGCAGGTCGTGGAGTTCGGCGGCCCTGCTGACAGTCCTCTGTGCTCTCTTTTGGGACAGCAAGGTGGACAAGGGTTGTCAGCAAATCTCTCACAGGGTTTTGACTTGGGCACTCGAGGTGGATGTCATAGAGCTCACCAGCAACTGGAACAGCGAAGCCCGGCTTTCGCATGGTTCCAACTTCCGAAAGGACCTTGCAGGCAAGGAAGTGACTCAGACAGACGACAGCGTGCCATGGTGAATCGATCCCGCAAGGTGTTGAGGAATGTGATCTCCCTTTCCCAACAACAACTTCGGGGTGGAGAATGTGTCTGGGTCTCAGAAAAGCATTCCAGTGCTTGGCGAGATCGTGACTCATGCCAGTTCTGGCAGACTCTTGCAGAATCCGGAAAGGCCTTCGAGTGGCAGCACGGAGATCTACAAATTCGAACCACGTCAAAGGCGATGTTCCTGGATTGCTCTAGGGTGTCTTCAAAAATGGAGAGTGTAGAGAACCAGTGGGATTACCTGTATCGTGCCTTCTGTGGGTCAGTCATGAACTTTCATGGGGCTAGCTCAGCCTCAGGAGAAGGGAACCCCGTCTATGCCGTGACGGCCCAGAAAGAAGCTCTTGAAGGCGTGGATAAGAAGGAGCTGGAAAGCTTGTTAGACACCGTGCAGAAGCTTCATCGGAGGTTCGGACATCCTTCCAACAGCCTCCTCCTCAAGAACCTTCGAGCCAGAGGTGCATCTCCTAAGCTGTTAGCCGTGGCCGCTGAGTTTAAATGTGACATGTGCATGGAGAACCAGATTCGCACTTCAGCTCCCGCGGTCAGTCTGAAGCGTGAGGACCGCCTCTGGTGCACTCTTCAGATCGACGGTTTCTATATGCGAATTGGCCAGGAAGTGTTCCACTACTTGCTCATGGTCGATGAGGCCTCCGGCTTCTGCGTAGTAGAAGAGATGATAAGGCACCCCGAGAAAGAGATGAGGCACATGACGACCGCCCAGGTATGCCGGACCTTGGAACTTCGCTGGTGCCAGATCTTCGGGTTTCCTGAAACCATCAAGCTCGATCCCGAGGGAGCTTTCAGAGGACTTGATCTGGGAGAATACTGCTCGTCCCGAGGTATCGAGCTCAGTGTCATTCCTGCCGAGTACCACGAAGGGATCTCCGAGGTCGAGCGATCCATTGGGACAATTCGTAGGAAGATTGAGGCCTTCATGCGCCAGGAACAGTATCATCCTACGAGGGCGGCTGCGCAGATGGTGGCTGCACACAATACCATGGCCAGAACCCTGGGTTTTTCTCCAGCCCAATGGGCCTTCGGTAGAGACGTCACCGTGACAGGACATAGCCGTGAACGTCCTGGAGAGGTCTGCGCCCAAAGTGCTATGTCCGATCCTTCCCATGGCATGGCAGAATCCCTTGAGCTACGCACCAGGGCAGAGAAAGCCTTCATCGAAGCTCGAGCTCGAGAAGTGATGTCAAGGGCAATGAATTCCCGAACAAGGCCAGCCAAAAGATTCTTGCCTGGGGACATCATATTCTACCAACGATTCCAGGTTCCGCAGGATGCTCCGGCCAACTCGGTGGTGGACCGTCCCCGGATGGGGATAGCCCGCTTCTATGGACCAGCCCGAGTGTTGGCCACAGAGACTCGTGTGGTCTCAGAAGAAGGGGTCCGAAAGCCTAGTGCCATAGTGTGGGCAGTCTGCAACGGCCGGCTTAAGCGCTTTCATCAGAGTCAGGTCCGACACTCCACCGAGTCTGAGCGCCTCATCGCCGAGGGTGCAGCAGGTGCCGAGTTTCCGTGGACGTTTGCTTCGTTGGCGAGTCTCCTTGATCGTGGTTCCTTTGACGATGAAACCATCGTTCGCTCCCGAACCCGAGGACGTTCCAAGACTCCGGCCCGATCCAGGTCAGTTCCTCCTGGTCGGCGAGCTGCTCCAGAACCTCCAGTACTCCCTCCTCAGCTTCATTACGGTCCTGAGCCAGAAGCCGAGGACTTTGAAGAAGAAGAGGAAATGATTCCAGTCCCTGCTGAGATGTCACGAGGCTCAAAACGTCCGGATCCGGAGCCTCCTCATGATGATGAGGCAGAGATGATCCCCGTGCCGCAGGCTCACAATTCGCTGGTGGAAAATTTGGACATGAGTCGTTTCTTGAATGATCCTCAATACCTGCCCGCGAACTTTGTGACCTTGGATCAGGAAGAGAGTGAGAGTTCTGCCTATGTCATCCAGAATGCCTCATGCGCCTCCTTGCAGGACGAGTCCCCTGCGTTTGCAGTCACCCTCGCTGCCCCATCGAGCGAGGCCGAGTGGAAGGCCCTCGTGAAGAATCCCAAACGATTCATCGCGAAAAGCGTCCAAAAGGGCGTAGAGGTCAGCTATGCCAAACTTAATGGGGTACAGCGTGCTGCAATGGACGAGGCCATGAAGGTCGAAGTGGACAACTGGATGAAGACCCAGGCTGTGAGGGCAGTTCAGAAGTTTCTGCCTCAGAGAGAGTTGCTCAAAATGCGATGGGTTCTCACTTTCAAAAGTGCTCCTGATGAATCTGCTGAGCCAAAGGATGGACAACCTGCGAGCGATCCCCCCAAAGCCTCTGGAGAGCGGATCAAAGCCAAGGCGAGAATTGTCATTCTCGGCTACTCCGATCCGAATCTTCTGGAGGCCAATACGGTGAGCCCAGCTATGTCACGTCTTTCTCGGCAACTTCTGTTAAACATGGCTTCAGTTCGAAAGTGGGACATCTTGTGTGGGGATGTGAAATCGGCCTTCTTACAGGCAAAATCTCCACAAGGGCAGAGGTGCGTGTTCGCGGCTCCAGTTCCCGAGCTGGCGCATGCGCTCGGCCTACAAGAAGGACAGGCAGTGCAGCTCCTACGCAGCTGCTACGGATTGGTGTCCGCCCCAAGAGAATGGTACGAAGATGTACATAGGACTTTGGTCAGCTTAGGTGCCGAAAGGCTTACCACCGACAGCTGTGTGTGGCGCATCCGGGATGCTTCAGGCGCTGTGGTTGGACTTGTGTCCAGCCATGTTGACGACTTCTTAATGACGGGATGCTCCTCCTCAAAGGCCTGGCAAGACTTCTTGCACGGCTTCAAGAATGCCTATGAATGGAGTCCATGGGAGCATGGAGCCTTTCGACATTGTGGTGTCAACATCATGCAGCATCCTGACCATTCTGTAAGCTTAGACCACTCCAGTTTCTGCCAGGAGTTGAAGCAGCTCGACCCGATCCGTGAAGAGCGCAAGTTGACTCTTGCGGAAGTCAGCCAGGTGCGTGCCGTGTTGGGAAGTGTGCAGTGGAGAGTTTATCAAAGTGCTCCACAGCACGCTGCTAAACTTAATTATCTGCAATCTCTCATCGCTTCGCAAGATTCCAGCATCGTGGAACAGGTCAACAAGTTGATCCGTGAAGTGTATTCAGCTCGAAGTTTGTCTGTTCAGGTGCAATCTTTGGGAGCAGAGGATCCCGAGCAGTTATGCATGATCGCATGGTCAGACGCTTCTCTTGCGAATCGTCCGGATTTCTCATCCACAGGAGGGCATTTAATTGCTCTAATGCATCAGCAGTCTCTCGAGGCTGGAATGGGACGCATCAATCCTATCGCCTGGAAGAGTGGAAGATTGCACCGAATAGCCCGTAGTTCTTTGAGTGCAGAATCACAAGCCCTTGCTGACACCGAGCAGGAGCTTTTCTTTGCTCGCTTAGAGTGGCGGGAGATGATCGGCGACTATGTCGATGCCAAGGTCCCAGAGAATACGGCGGCCAAGGTCCCCTCATACCTTGTGGTCGACGCAAAGGCCATGTTCGATACGTTGTCGAAGGGTGTCTTCGTTGCCAGTCAAAAGGATAAGTATACTGGTTTGGAACTTTTGTCGTTGAGTCAGCATCTAGAAAAACAAAAGACAGTGCTTTTGTGGTGTGATAGCAACCACATGCTGGCGGATGGTTTGACGAAGGCTAGCAAACAAGATGTGCTCAAACGTTTCCTGGCATCTGGATATTGGAGGATCCGTTACGATGGAGCCTTCATTTCAGCGAAGAAGAGACGCCAGATGTTGAGGGAGCCTGCTGCGGAGAATGTGACAAACTCTGTTTTTCTTCAGTGTACAGAGCAGGCGCAAGCACTGAAATGCTTCGGCATTCTTCCTGGGGGCATGTCAGAAGACTTGTACAAATCAGTTTTGCCTCCACCTTCCAGTGCTTGCAAGCATTCGGTTCTCACTTCCAGGAGCTCCTTCGGCCCGAGGTCTTAGCGACCGAAAACGTGCTACGCTGTGTAACTCCAAGCCATCCTTAGGATAGCTTCGCTTCAGCCATAGGCTCCTGACTCTTTTCCTTCAGATCTCAGATCGACTTCGTGCGAGCAGTGCGGAAAACGACTACCACTTCTTGCATCACATTTTTGGCGACAACAGATTCCCTGGAAGCCACATAGAAGAGGAGAGCCCAACACGCTGACCGATATCGGGTTTTAGTGGCGGTCGAAAGTTCGAGAAGCTGTTGAGGCCGTCTTCTCCCCTAAGACAACTGATTGAGTAGCGAGCGCTCATGACGAGGCGCAACAGGAGAGCGGTGAGCGAGCTTGGAGGTGCCTCGGGCTTGATGTGTCGCAAGTTGGGAGAGGCTTTGGGTGCATGTGTCAACTCCTTGGCGGGTGGAGAAGTACAGACGAAGTAGAGGTTTTTGCAGCACTGGCATGCATGGTAGTCATGCGTGGCCGGGCCACATTTAAACAGACTAGTCTGCATCATGGGCCGTGCCTTCACAGTTGATAAACTGCTTGGAGTTTCCCTGCATCGAAAACTCACCACTTTCCTCGCTCCTGCAGCATATCGGGATGTAGGCGTGGGTGTACTTTGGCGTTTTTGGCAGCTGCGCTGCCGGGGTTCAAAGGTCTGAAGCTAGCGCGGACGACAACCAGGAGTGGAAGGCGGGGTTCTTTGGAAAAGCCGAGCTCGAGAGGGTTCACGTTTTGCAGACTTATGGCGAGGATCTCTGCATTGAGCTGATGAAGCAGTATGTCCAGCGCATCCAGGGCAGCATCCTTGAAGCAAAGGCCGGGCGATCCATTCGGCATTGAGCTGGGCAAAAGGTTCTCAACGTCATCATGGTCTGCAATAAAGCAGGATAAGCTTAGCAACGCCATGAGCCAGTCCCGAGCCCTTCGTTGGCACAGGCATCTTCCATTTCCTGGAACTACCGTGAGGCAAAAGTTTCTGTGGGAACTTCTGGGAGGGAAGAGAAGGAAGAGTAGAAATGACCTGCGAAGGGAGAAGACACTTCCCCCCCTGCACTTTTCCGAAGTTCCATTGTGTTCTTCCACTCGAGCTTAAGTGGAGGATGCAAGTAGGTCTGCCGGTTTTCTTCTGTGTTGAAGCCGAAGGTGGGTGCCACGGGGGTCATCGATGATGTGGCTCATGAACTGGTGCGGCACCTGAGCCGCCTTTAGAGGACAAAAGAGTGCGAGGACGGTGATGAAACCCAGAGTCATTCCAAGCAGAGTCGGGCAGTCGAGACAGGAACCAATGGTGCGCTGCATCAAGCCTTGGGAGGCGACCATCGCTAAGATGAATCAAGAAAGCATTTCCTTGAGACCAACGCACCAAGGTTTCTGGATCCGGATGTGCCCACTGGGCTACTCTTTGGGTTTCCAGCCGCCTGGATTTATCCTTTCTGTGGTCTCCCGGAAGGCTAAACAAGCATCTTTGCAAGGCTTGCAGGATCCCTGACCAGAGAAACACTCAAAGAGCCTCTGAGGTGAAGGTGGTCATGGGCAAGGGCTATGTGGAAGTCAAGCGTGCTGACATCGACAAGGTTCTCGGGCATCGTGTTCCGAACAATTTGGAACATCACGATTCCTAACGTGGTTTTCTCATGCACATCAGGGAAACTAGCATGGTCACAGGAGACTATGAGATGGGGAGTAAGCCATTGCAAACCGCTGTAGCCTTCAGAGTGTCTGTGAGGGCAGCAAAGGAGCCATTGCAGTCCTTGCAACTCGAAATCTCGCATGCCCGCGCAGGGTCGAGCTGTGATCAAGACCCTTGAAGAGTTGGGCAACGTAGACTTCGTGACTCCGTTGAACTTATCCCTGCAACTGTCAGTGTGAGCCTTGAGCTCTCCACTGCCCTTCTGGGTGCTTGCGGTGGCTACAAGAGGGCATTGTTGGTGAGAGAAATGACTGCAGCCTCCTCGAATTTTCTTGCCCTCCCTTCAGTGTGCGTCACAGAGTAAATAGGTTAAAGTAGGGATGCGCGAACCAAGTCCACCAGCCTAAATCCTGAGCCCTCCTGTGCGAATGCCAGAGGTCCTCAGTATCGGTGACGACCGGTCCGACGAGGATATGCGACTTTGCCTCCCTTTACAGCAGCACCTGCTTGTTACGCTTCATTCTTGGGAATTGATTCTGGAATTCGGGGATCCAAGAATTCTTCAGAAACAAAATCAACTGAAGAGAGAGAGAGAGAGAGAACTTGTGACCGAGATGCAGAGAGGCACAGAGAGAGACGGAGAGAGAGAGGGAGCACCGAATACCGGAGCCCGAGTTTCACGGGGCTGCGGGGGCTCTCAAGCTCGCAGAAGAAGCAGAAGCAGAAGAAGAGAGAGAGAGAGAGAGAGCGAGCTTGCCTGCGAAGCCTCTTCGCAGCAGCTCTTCGTGCCTCGGCCGCCTAAACAGTTGCACAAACGAACTGACATGAGAAAACAATGTACCCCTTACATAATCACACAACATAGATACATGCATTTGTATGTACGTATAGAACAATTACATGCAGAAGGCATAGCCGTATGCAAGCGGGGGGGAGAGGGGGGGACAACACTTTGGCAGTTACACCAGCTGTCGGGTCGCACCTGCATACATCGACAGAAAATGAAGTACATCTAAGCATGAAGCGTGCTGGCCCTAGTACTTCTGTATTTGAAACCAAACCAAGTTTTCCTGCCGCGTAAGCTGCACCATGATTTCTGCGCTCAAGCCCTCTGTGTGAAAAAGTAGCCCATTGCCTGCACTGGCTTAACGCCACAACAACCGTGGTGAAATCCCATATGGCTTATCAGCCGTAAGCTCGGCACATCTGTGACTTTTCTCATTGCATGTGAGCGTCCCAAGTTGGTACCAAGGAGTCTCATGAGGACATCCTTGTATACATGCATGCCTACGGCCACAAGATAGCAGACTAGCAAATTGATTAGCAAAAGCAGCATGGATTTGAAGGTCTTCTAGCTCTTCCCTTCCTCAGGCAACTCAGATCTTGCAACTTTTTCAACTCCTTTCAAATCCCCGGACTGCATCTGACTTTGGAATTTGGGTTTCTAATCTTGCGAGCATGGTACCCAGTAGGCTGTCTGAGGACACGTGAACCTGTGAAATCCGAGGTTCGAGGCGATCTCGAACTACTTCAAGCGGGTCCTTACCCCGGCATTCGTTTCTTCGGTTTCATCGCTGATTGCTGGTTGCTTTTCTCACTACGAGCACTTGCCAACACCGTTGCACAGAGATTGCCGATAAGATCCTGAGCAGTTTTCTGCGAAATGTCTGCCGAGCCATGGGCACACACTGCAAGTTCCCCTGCCTTCCTTGTGCAGACTGGGGACGTCTCGGCGATGCTTTCTGCAAACCCCTCGCAGAGTTCTCTCCGACGTGCCGGCGCTGGCACATCGCTGCTTGCCTTCTCTTGGCACACTTGTTCACGCTTGAACCATCTTGAACCATGACCATGACATCCGCATTCGCTGCGCCCGTGTGCAATCAAGGTCGATGGCCTCTTCGCTCGACGGTCTCGCCCCATCACCCACCGATTCGCCCACCGTGTCGCCAAAGGAGCCTTAGCTTGCCAACTCGTCATGGATCATCAGAGCATAGCTTTGTTGTGCATTTTTGCACATGCATTCCCTTGGAATGCAAGGACAAGAATGACAAGAAGCCCGTGCGCTCGGTAAACTTCACCGACAAGGCAGCCGGTGCCTGAGGCTAATGCCTGTCTGCATACTTTGCGAAGAGCATACGTTGTGCGAAGAGCCTGCATTTGGCCAGCCATCGGAGTAAGTCCATGCGTGACCTGTTCGTCTTAGTTTGTAGAAATCAAAGAGCTGTGTGGAGAGCTGGCCTACGCCCCTCACGGCCCACTTACGGCTGTGCAAGACTCAAACACCCGCAATGCGCAAGGATGGCACGGCCTCGGCACCAGCGCAAGCCTGTCTCCATCGCATGGCCTGCTTCAGTGAAGTTTCCATGTTTCTGTTTGGAGAAGACGGCTGGGTTCAGTATTGGCAGTGTTGGGTACAAGACGAGTTGGGCTTAAATGTGAGCTTCGATTGTAGGCCACAGTGTGGGTTCTAGAGTTCTGCTCCTTTGAGAAACGATTTCCTTTCTCACATGCTACGAGACCGGCTCGGACAGGCTTCGTCCACCACCTGGTTCACGGCGACTGTTGGGCGCAAAACCACACAGGCAGAGTGTGCGTCACTGTGCCTGTCAGAGTACAAAGTCAGAACCTGGAAAGCATTGAAGCTGAATGGAAGGCAAAGCATTTCTGTGCAGACGTGGACGAGGTCACGCAGCTTCTGAAGAAGTTGCTGGGCCAGCCATCAGCGTAACTCTTGCAAAGATACTCCAAGAGACTCCTCTCAAGCTTGCAGCAAGTCAAACATCTCAGTCACATCCACGACTTTTTTTCCCGTTTCAGGCTTGCTTCTAAAGCGATTGTGCCTTGGTGGCAAAGGGCTGCCAGGAATGAATGGGACTAGGTGTGCGCGAAGCCTGGGAGACGTAATGAGACGCAGGAGCTCAACAGCAGTGTGAAGCAACTCACGTTAGCTTGGTGTCAGGGTGTAGATGGGCTGAGGTACGCATAGGCTTAGGTTTCTCGGGACGTTTAGGGGCTCCGGCTGGCGGACAGTGGCGGACACATCAGCAGGTCTAGGGTCCAAAAGCTTAAGCTCAGGACGAATTTACTGTGGCAGCTGTGCAAAGACATGCCCCACACAGTCATAGCACAACGGGACGGGCAAGCGACAGGGCAAGTAGGTAGCCAATCCAATCGTGACAACATCAGTTGGCACCTGACGTCTTTGCAGCTGCTGCGCTGAACCCATGTGCACTCTAGCAAGTCAGCCGAAGACCAATGTCCGAAACCCTGGCAGATGGGCCAGTTCTCCCGGTTCGCATCGATGCCGGTAATCGCTCCAGACGCTGATGCGACTTGGCAAGAAAGTCGTGACGCTGGCCGCTTGAGGTTTACAGAGATCTTCTTGGGAGTGCCATGGGTGCACCCGACGTCTTTTTTGCATCATTGTTGCGTTGAATGTGCAACACGCGTCCCAGCTGTCCCAGGGTCCCAGCTGTCCCAGGAACAGAATGGAGACGAAGACTCGCAAGACGAGCCCCCTGACGTGCCTTGGCAGCAGAGAGCCGATCCCGATGCAGCGGTTCAACGTTTCCGAAGGCGCCACCTTCTCCCTCGCTGGACGGCGCAGAGTGTGCAAACAGCATGTCACATGGATCCATTAAGGCCAGAGCATCACCGAACGAAATCTCACGTCCGTGTTGCCAGTGGATGCCAGCCTACGCCCCCCCCCCATCACCCTAAACCCGGTCTAGCCTACAGCGGAAGCCCCAGAAACTCCACATCCCTGAGCCGTCAAACCGCGGAAGCCCGAGGTTGAATTGTTCTCGACTTCGGAGGGAGCTTGCGAGTTTCGGGCTTTACAGTAGGGGGTGGCCTGTGTTTGAGGCTTCAAGTCAAGTTTGGAGTTTCAAC